TAAGTTGTAAATAATTCAAGACATTTTTAAGTAAAAATGGATGGTGACTAGCACTGAAATGTAAGATGTGTGTTTCTTTCTGTTTGAGACTCGTCATCTGGATGTACTTGAATCCCAGAGTTGATGTTCATCAGGACTTAGTAGCTAAGTGGATAAAGCGATAGCGTTTGGAGCGAACATTACTGAGTTAGAGTCCCGGAGTGGACATAAACTCTGAGATTCAGATACATCGAGCTGACGAGTCCCGAATAGTACGAAACGCGCTTCTTGAATTCTTCTGTTAGCGACGATCCATCTTTGCCTATAGAGCTTACGACTTAAGGCAATATTGAGGCAACCCGCACAGGATGCACATATGTTAACAAAGGACTGAACAATTGCAGTTCTAAACAACAATAGGTAGATACAAGCAAACAACACCAAATGAATTTAAAGAAGCTTTTGTTGCAGTGTCTCAAAATGAAAATAAGTTTTAAAGTAGGTAAATTTCTACGACGAGTAAACATTCATCATCCATATTTAGAGGTTTAATTCAATTTGAAAATTTTGTATTATCCCATTTGACTGAAACTTGATCAATCTTGGTTAGCATATATACATTCTGTGTAGATTGCCTCGATATAACCATTGTGGCACAAATAAATAAAAAAATAAATGGAATATGGAGAATAATGGAATCAATAGGGATTGTTTCATCCTACTTAGGACACGCCAGCTGGGTTTATGTGCAATCTGAAGTTGACTTTAACCCAGTAATTCTCGCTTCAAATGCTACTGCGTTATTTACAAGGCTATTAAGTTCAGATATCTACTAACTTGTGTTACGGGTATGAGTTATAATTCAATCTGAAACAATTTACATTATCCCATTCTTTTATTCTGTATTTAAAGTTGGTTTTATTTCCCATAAATAGCTGACTAAAATTATTCATTTTAGTTCGTTTGAATAGTTAGTTTTTCTAGTGCATATATTTAATGATCTTGAATGAATTATCTTAGCTTATGTCAAATCAATTGAATAAAGTTATGTTATTAGAAATTTCTATTCTCGGTACTTATTTATGTTTCTCACAATTACCAGAATATTCAACTACCAATATAATCTAAAGCTTAATTTCAATTTTCTTCTATTGGATAAGAGGAATTAATAATTATATAAATGATATATTTCATTTAACATACGCAATATCCCGTATGTCTGATACAAATAAATTGACACAATTGTATATCAGTAATTATATCTCTGTTACAATGAAAACATGTGAACTTTAAAAAAACATGATTGTAAGTGATTAAGAGAAAAGGATTCTTTTCACACAAACACCTTAAATTGTACTAATCACGTGTATAAAAGTATGATCAAAGACCAATCCACAATACAGTGAGACTATAATTGATGGATGACCTTTGAGAAACGCTAAAGTGACCTTGAAAATGTCCATCTACTTGCTAGGGTTATAAATTAATGCGAGGAATTAGGATTACGATTTACAGTTGAACGTTAGTGTTATAAATTATACTCAATTTTTTTCATCAAAAACTGACATCAGCTATAATGCCGAAATGGTATTTAGCCAAATCGAGATCAACAGTTAACCATTTTTAACAAGTTCTAATAGCAAAGTTGCTAAAATTTTCAGGAATAATGAATGAAATGGATGTCCAACGTTTCATCGCGTCAGGTATTATGCTGCCGTTACACTTGTTCTTCATGTTTTAGATAAATAGGTAGCCACTATACCACTTATTAATTCTCCCATAACTTTTGTCATCATTCTAACAGTCTTCATTATTAAGATGTAAGTATGCAAAGTGGTTATGTAAATTTTTTACTCCTGTTTCTAGTCTGTAAACGGCCAAAAAATATCCACGAGTTAAACGTAACTCATTTCATCCTAATAAGCTTATTGTTTGTACCTTATTAATATTTTTCAATGAAAAAATTGTATGAAATAATTGTTATGTATTCATTATACAGTTATCTATTGTTTTTTAATGCTATTTGACAACTGTATGAGTTATTGAAGAGGTCTTGTGACTTTATCCTTCAAAAAGAAATTTAAGGTGTTGATTTTAGCCCTATATATGGTGCTGGACCTAATTAACCAGAGAATCTTCTGCCATCAAGTAATGATAAACATTTCTTCCGTAACTGCAATTATTTGTTAATTTGTTCCCACAAACAATTTCTTTAGAAATAAAAGTTATTTACTAAGGCTTTGATTCGAAAGTAAACTGTTCGAATAAGAATGGAAGATATTACAAAACTGATATCATTTAAATAAATATGTTGAAATCAAATCTTCAGTAGTGTAAATGGATTTTATGGAAATATTTTTTCAATTTCAAATATTTGAAATAAATTAGACGCCAATTTTTAACTATGAAGAAAATGGTAAATTTTCAATAATCATGATATGTGGACTAATCAGAAATTCTCAAAATCTGTCTAAAATGTTAATTGTCTCTACAGAAAATATCACTGATACAAGCTGAATTGTGGAACGGTGATAATTTAACAATTTGATTACTGAACTAGACATTTTTTTACCTCATTGAATGTTTAATGAATGAACAAAGTTCTACTGAATGAGTAATACTACCTAAAACAAAGCATTATAAAATTTTAGGATTAAAAACGCTATATATTTGATTATTATATATATTTAGGCCTCAATAGGAACAGGATACTTATTAATTATTAGAAATTTAATAGTTCAGTTCATGAGTCAATTGAAGCTAGACCACCATAGAAAACCTAAATGCATTGAACAGCCGTTTCGTCTACAAAACCACCCTCTCTAACTGTTAGAAAGTTTTGGATTTCTTTAATCATAGTTTTTGTGAAAAAATGCAAAACTACAATTTCGCTTGAAATTTCTGAAATCTAAGGTATTTTAAAACAATTAGTCCCTTTGATAAATTTCGATAATGTAATTAGAAAACGAAAGTTATCAGAACTATGTGATATATTAACGCAATACATTTCGAACAATCTAATCATACATATACTTCTTAAGAGCATTTATATATAAAAATAAAAGGTCAACTAGACTAGAAACGGGGTAAGAGGAGATAAGGATAATGATAAGAGAAATAATAATAATGTGAACGCAATTTGAAACCTAATCACTCTGGATAATAAGTCAATATTACCAGGGTAGGTTTAAGGTAAGAACAAACTGTTTTTGAACACACAAAGGGGGTCTGAATTTTCGTATGGCTAAGGCTTCAATAAACCTTAGTATACGCCTTTTTTACACTTTTATACAATACCACAAAACTGAGTTTGTTTGTAATCACTCCTAAGAAAAATATTATGCAATTTGTAATTTGTTAGCTATGGTTATAAATCTTATTATAGATTAATTCAGAAATATATAATAAACTATTGAAAGAAAAACATTACTGAACCTTAAGTATTTTAATATGTTATTATTAAACAGAACGAACCCATAAATCATTTGATTTTATCATTATGCAATCGAAATAAAAAGATTGATAAATAACATAATTGAAATGTAATACTAAAGAAACTAATAAATATAAAAATCAATAAATATTCCCACTATAGAATGTCAATCTCACTTTAGAATATCTATGAAGATACTAAAGCGTAAAGTATGAATGACATTATTTTTAGAAAAAAAACAATAGTTTAAGTTAATGACTTTTGTTAAAGCAACATTTTATATTAGCTTATTGTTTACTTATTGATCACCAGTAATATATCATATATTATCTTAAAGCTTTTTATTGTCAATATTCTTGATAGACAGAAGGATATAAAAACGTATAGGTCAGTTGACTGTGGTTAACAAATTCTGAACATTGATATTCTGATAAAGTACGTATTCATTTAACTTTGTAATAGTATTATGTAATATAATTGCTATATAACGTCATTATTCATAAGTATTGCACGTTACCTTCCATTGATTGGTTCTCAGTATCCACTTATCCAGGCTCCAAATATTAAAGTTAAGAACTTGATTTTGACCAATAATTCTAATCTGATACATTATAAGATTATTCGTTTTTATAAGGTTATTGAATGTTAGATTAGTAAACCCTAGTTAGATACAATAATTTCAATGACTGGAAAACAAATATTTGGTTTATTAAACATTCGTCACATAATAAGCTGACTCATGATTACTTAGTTATATTTCTTACAAATATGTCTATGCTTGAACAAAGGTAATAAAACTTGATAACTGACTGAGTATATTGTTCAGGTGAGAACATTCAAACGGAAAAAAATAAACATTCACTTAGTAAACAAAAGTCTGTCTAAAAATTCGACTGTTTCATAAACTTATTAAAAAAAGTTACCACTATTTAACTTACAAAATAAAAAAACCGACTAAATGATCGGCTTATCGTTTGTATACTTTTAGCATTAGGCCAATAAGTTCATATTATTATAGATAAAGTTGTCTATTTTATAAAAACATTTTCAGTATCCCTGGAAAATATATAAGAGTTTACAATGATTCTCTTATTATCTGTTTGTAGAAAAGGTGCATAATCCTATATGTTAGGTTAAGAGAAACTGTCATCATCATTGCTTCTTAGATATCATTCCATCACTCCAGGATAATTTCTATGAAAGAAGAAACCAATTATAAACCATTTTAATGTAGTTCAGTTGTTGTAGAATAGTAACACATGCGTTTTTTTTAAACACACATTGCATATCAGTTTTGCAAATAGATCGACCAATAAACCCTATTGTTAATTGTAAATCGAATTAAATTTAAAATATGAATTCAGCAAAATATATTGAATAGTTAGATCTCGACGACTACATCGGAGATTGGAAGCAGACGTGAAAAAGATCAATAAAAACTGGAAACAACTGAGATGGATAACCCAGAATAGAGTTGGATGGAGAATGTTTGTGAGCGGCCCATGCTCCTTCATTACGAGTAACAGGCGTAAGTAATTATATTAAAAAACAGTGGATTATTTCGAAGTAAACAGTTTATTTCACTTACCATCTTGACGCTGAGCACACCATGCTTTATTACTTAGATAATGACCATATTCTGGAGTACAAGAACGTTGAGAGCGTTTGCCACGAGAACTTGAAGCAGCGAATCTTGCATAAGGAGGTATGCCAATAAGTTGTTTACATGCTTAAGTAACAAAGTATAAACAATAAACATAAAGATTAAAATGGATTTTAAGGAATTTTTAATTAATATTTCATTTGAAATATTTGTTTATCAATCTCATTTCACACAACTTTCGAAATTGAAATCATGAACTTATTTTAGCCTTTAGAAAACTTCATTTTATGGATGGGGATGACTAACACTAGCCAACGTATAAATGATGTTCATGTTCTCACATTCTGAGATGGTAGATCTATTGTCAGACATACTGTATTGATTATAAGTAATAATTCCTGAATGTTATTAAGCCTAACATGTGAGGATAAAACCTCTGTCTTTACGTCAAGATTTGAGGTTATTCACTTTGTTCGCTTAGAAATTGCAGTTAGTTACAAAAGAATTTTAGAAGTAAGTTTATATCTTCAAAACTATTGTTTTAACTACAACCACGAAAATTAATCACCATTGTTCTAGCAAAATTGAATTGTGGTAAAATCCATAATTAACTTCATGCAATTAGATAAGGATGAAGTATAATTCAATATCTTAACAGTATGGTTAACATGATTTAATTCTTACATCATGCAACCATACTTTGTATTAGTTAGTAATGTAATATAATAGTCATTCATCACGTGGTTATTAGGATAATAACTAATTACTCAACATTGATGAGTCAAAAATTCTAAAATATACCATACACGGTTTTATGATTTGACAGAAAAACTAATGAAAAAAGACAGAAAGTCATGTTTAAATGATGAGGGAAACGTGCGATAAACTATGCGGAAACATAATTATTTAGTTTAAGGATAATTGAGTGACCTTTAGAAATTATTATTGGATTTATGACAAAGTAATTGTCATAAATTCTAAGCTGGTAACATTGTAGTAATCAATAGATTTAATAAAATACACCTTGTAATGTCTTTAGGAGTGCTTACGTTATTGGTGATTTTTCTCTGCTTAGGAAAAGACAGTATTTTTGAAGTTCTACTTGACAGGCGTTTTCACTGTGTATATAAAATAAACGATGAATAGAAAAATTCACACTTAAATGTTCATATGATGGATACGTTCTTCTTGAAAACTATTAAACACTGTTCATTATATCGTGACATTTATATTTAAAGCCAACTAAGAAGTTAAAGTTATCATGATGAATTTGCACCAATACCTTCAAAGTGTTCAATAGATTCTATGAATCAATATCATATTAAAAATGCAGTCAACGAGGTTATGTAATAAATAATATTGTAACCGTCTGATTTAAATGCCACCTTTTCATTTTATTAATAATTTTTTTTTACTTTGCTGCTTTACTAATTCTATAATTCCTATTTGTGCGTTAATAAATTTATTTGTGAATGTCAGTGTATTTTAATGAATTCGGCGATTACTACGAACCATTTATGAACAAAGTTTCCATAGTCAACTATATTTATTTTATTTTGCTACACAACTCGTAACGAGATTGAAAAGTATGGTTGAAAGACTGAATAACAATCAGTTGTTGATTTATGTAATCATGTAATAATAATAATAATAAAACTCAAGTTATTCACTTACACTGACAGCCAACTAATTCAACTCGAAGACTAGGATGATTATGCCATGTGTATGTATGAATTTTAACATATCTTGCTCGAATTGGTTCATCAAAATAATTATGTTTTACTGAGTAGGAGTCTGAATTTCCTTCAAAAATCTAGAAAAAATCGCGTGAAGTAAAGTCTCAGTTAATCAAGAGAAAAACGTTTGTTCGAGACAAATCACAAGCTTGAACTGGTACCAAATAAAGTAATCTGTTAAAAATCCGAGGACAAAACGCCCACCTAGTTCTTTCAGATTTTCAGTTGTAATCTAAGATCAAAGTCTGATGTAAACTGTGAAAATTCTGGATGGATAACAAAATAGAAGTAAAATATTTATGCGACAATCATTAACTCTATCTGAAAAGATTTTTGTATAAATGTCTAGTTACAGAGTGTTTCATGAACTGTAGAATTTAGATCATTAATTTGGTCATTAAAATCTATTCTTTCTGAACAGGAACTATGAGATTTATCCAGTTGTACTTTAGATATATGATCTGAAGCAAACTACTAGAGTCTTCAATTCAGATGCATTTTGTTTTGGCTTGTATTCGCCCACATTTCATAAGAGTTATGAGAAGAAATGATGAAATTTTTCATATGGCAAATTGAACTCTACAACTCAAATGTAAAAATGATTTGTTTAAATGATTAACAGTTTAGTAAATTAATCAATGCTAATGTGAATACTTGTCCAGCTTACTTTCTTGTCTTAATATGAATTCATTTGTAGCCCGTCGGTGATGAAAATTGATGTGTAAAGAGTGGTAAACAATTTTACTGATGAGATCAGATCATTCACAATAACGGGCATAAAAACAATAGATGTGTCACTTCAAAACTATGAAGGAAACTAAATGAAACTGAGATTATTTATATCAGTGTAAAATCAACATCTAGTTATTATAACCAGAAAATAATAAATTATACTGAGATTAGATGGTGGTTGGAGGTAGTCAACAGGAAACCCTGGAGAAACTGGGAGCACTGGACGGCCGTTTCATTCTAGTATAAGACTCCCCGGCAGTGAACATACATGAACCTCCTCCCGCGAAATTCGAACCCAGGACTTATCGTTACTACGAAATCAACTATTAAATTACTATAATATCCACAAAACACCTCTCTGATTATAATCATCTTATGCTCACTAGTGACAGCCTCCAAGAGATATTTCCTGAATTTCTAGTGAGAAGCAATGTTCAGTGGAGTTTTAAAGCTCTATGTAAATCTTTTCATGGAATTAGATTAACAGTATATAATACAATATGTAAGGTCTAAAAGAACTCATTGTAGATGTGAAGTGACCTACTTCAAAGTTCATATTATTATGTATGCATTTATAGGAAAAATAAATTGGTAGATTTCATTTGCTTGTATTACATTATTAATTTTCTTTTCATGCTATGGTTGAAGCTATCACGAGTTCACTTAGTCTGCGAACGAGAAACAAGACTCGATGACCAAAGACCAGTAAGCTAGTTACTGATGCGTCCCAGCCCCACTAACTCGAGGGAGAAGTCCAAGCTTGGAATGGGGAAGTATATTCTGCAAACAGCCAGAAACAAACGATCACTACAAACACAATTTAAAACGTAAATATACAGTACAAAACCGTCCTTGGGGAGAGTTACCGAACAGCATACTTAAAGAAGCAACGGACCAATAGGATTTAAGATATTTCCCAGTGGAAAATACGACATGGTTACAAGAGCGCCTTTGGCGCGAAAACAAAGAAATTCAAGTTTTCTAAATAAAATTACAAAATTAGGTTCTTTCCCAAGTGAGTTCTGGGGATTTAACGTCCCCAACATTTCCCCACACTTGTAGTTTTCATTTATAATTATAAATATATTTGGGGTGAAAATAAAATATGCTAAATACTATATATATATATATATATTGCTACACTTGTGTTCTACAGCAAAGCAGTCGTTGAAATTCCGGTCACAAAACGAAAAGTAAACATACACAAGTAAAATCTTTTTACTTGATGCTTATTATCATTGGCTTTATTCAATATTATATTTTTGGTACAATATAGAACTCTCGGCACAAAGCAAATCAATAAATTTCCATTTTTTATTTATTGGTCTATTCTGACCATAAATATTGAGTGATCGCCAGCTAGAAGTTATGAGTTTAGTCAATTGACATCTAAATAATTAACATTGTTTGCGCTGCATATTGCCAGCAGACATGATTTCGCTGGTGGACCTTTTGTAACTTGTACAACGAAAAGTTTTACACTTTTCAGAAACGCACCTAAATAGATTATGTGATTAACAGTCATAATGATGTATTAGAACAAACAAAAATAGATACCTTCTTGAAACATCTAGATGGCAGGAACAGGTAGCCCAGATGTTTAGGCAGGCCACCGGTTTACATGTAGTCAATGAACGTAGTTAGCATAATACGTTATTGATACCTTGACAGAAATCAAACACTTAAATTACTGAAAAAACGTATTCTGTATATACTCAGAACAAAAAATAGATAATTTTTGGAATAGGCTTTTTTCACATTATTTTACTACTTTGTCGAATGAAGATAAAAATCAATTGTTTGAAATTTAAAAAAGTCATCGCCACTAAGAATTCATAATGTTCCTACGTAACTTGTCAAGTTTTTCTTTTAACTATTCTATCTAGTGAATTTAGTATGAATGAGCTAAACCTCGACGGATAGTTGAATACAGATGATCCCAGTGGTTTGATCCTAACAAACATTAGTTTTTTAACTGGATTTATGATAAAACCAGATAAATTTCTACGTTTTTAATCGACTAATATTATTGGGCATTAAAAACGTGGTACTAAAATATTATATTCCCTTATTGTTCGTAATTTATCTATTTGACTCTCATATCCCCACATATATATATGACCAGATTTCAAACAGATATTTTCATTTGTGTGATGTTATTTTTATATTTTTATTTAGACAAGCAAACGAAAGCTCAATGTATTGTAATAGTAGGTATTAGAATGGTCTAATCTATCACATCTATAGACAACAATTCCAATGATAATTAACTATGGAGATGAACGAAGAATTTTTTCAAAAAAAGTCATCTTAGTTGTAATAAAGAATCAAAATACAAACAAAAAGAAGTCATAAACCGAAATACAAAGAAAAACAAGCTATTTAACACAAAAATACAACCTTAATTAATTTTCTATATATATATACATAATCTCCAACACTCTGTTTAAATGTAGGACAGTGTTATACTACGTCACCTAAAATATAACGAGAAACATTTGAGATATAACTAACTATTCCAGATGTATGTGTATGTATAAATTCAAGTGTTATGTTTTGACGATTGATTTCAGTAAAACATATGTTTCAGTAAAAATCTATAATAATGACTTGTTAGAAAATTATTATTTTCTCGTCTAATACTTTATTCTCATTTCAACAACAGTAGTAACAATAATATCTATTTAAATAATAAAATGATTTCATTGTACAGTGTTATGTTATCCTAAATGATTAAATGCTTTCTTTACAAAATACTTCATAACTATTGTTTGGTAGCTAGATGAAATGGACATTTATAAGAGAATTGGCTGGAAAAAAAAAGCATAAATTACTATAGCGAAAAAAAACATGGCGCCGAATGATATTACCTATGGTTGTTGAAAATTCATGTAAAACCTATTTGGTTCTCTTTAATAAATATTTATTACATGGTAATGGATTGAACTACAAGTAGATAAATATTTATTCTGTTTTCTGTGGTGTAAGAGTCATTCTAAAATGTTTTGCTTATTTAAATAAGGCATGAATAACACATTAATTAGTATTCAATAAGTTTCATGGTTTTATATTAGCTACTTGTAAACTTATTAAAATTAGTAGTATGCACTAATTGGATTAACATCATGTTACATAACTGATACTGGGTATACTGATAATCACTTTCAGTGATGCTATCTATAAAACCGTTTATAAGGAAAATGTTTTATACAAAGAAAGAACGCTATAAAACGGATAGAAACTTAAAATGAATAATTCCGAACACAGGTTGAACTACGGCCGTGAAAAAACGTCAAAAGATCATTACAGGTGTATAGAAAATGTATGCTTCGAAACTGGTATCTATTACCTTATTTTTTTATTTACCTATCTTTCAACATAAGGTTTAATATAAGTTCATGGGTGGAAATGAACAAAAAAATGATTCCTAAATGCTATTTATCGCACAATGTAATAGCGTAGAGAATTATCTTTAAACACAGTTACTCTAACTAACTGACGGTTAAAATCCTGACTATCACCTTAACTTTATCTAAAAAAATTATTGATAACAGTTATCACTAAGAATATATGTATTTTAAATAAATATTGTTCTCTCTTACACAAGCATAGTGTTAGCTCATAATTGACGCAAATGTATTTTAAGATCTCCATGAATAAATAAATTTATATCATGGGGCAAGTACTTGATCCCACTAGTACTAATTTTAAGAAATGTTCAGTCATCAAGTGTAGCGTGTTTATCTGATCAATTTATAAGGTTGTTATTTTACTAATAAGTACATTTCTGAGTGAATATTCAAGAAAGGATCATGTTAGATTATTATACATCATCAGGACAAAAACGTTACTCAATAAATATACATAAGAAAAACTGGTAACTTACTTTTTGATTGGCATATTGGTCAGTGACAAACTTCCAGTGCATAGCATCATCACTGTAGGATACCATAAATGAAGTTACCCATTCTGAACCATCACCCCGACCCTGAGTCATGATGCCTGTTACCTTTAAAATTTAATGTATAGCAAATGGAAGTTATTTTATCAGTTCCTCTGTCGTTTGGAAAAAACGATGTTAAATGATAAATTGGTAGATCAGCCATGGCGTGGAAAATATAGTTTGAAAATTACTATCATAAGTAACAGTAAACTAATCAATTTGTAACTCATGGCTGAAAGAATTGTATCTGGTTGACTTACTTGTATACTGAAAATAAACGTTACTTAGTAGAATTATATTAAACCGAGTTTTCTTAGTGTATATTAGCATCTATTATTTCGAGGCAAGGTTATTTACCGGCGTTACTAACACCAGACATTTATTTCACTCTATGGTTAACTGTTGGTTCAGAAAAAAAAATTTCAGATTTGGGTTTAGAATTTACAGCAGACCTCTTCAAATGTCTTGTCAATAAATTTGAATAAGGTACCTTACCATTATTGCAAAATTTTGTTAGTTAGTTACTTATTATGATTTCCGAACAAAATTCTAGTGATTTTGATATGATATCCTGGAATTAATCTGGACTTGATTTCATGATTTAGCCTTAACACAATTTCATGGTAAATTGATAGAATAACAGTTTCTCGATTATTCTCTAATGATAGTCATATTAACAGGAAAACTAGTGAATCTACTTCACAACATACCAAAGTTTATAATTTTGTACACTGAATCCACAAAGCCACAGCAACTGAAATTCAGCTGCTAATATTTTAAAGGGTTGGCTCGAAATTCATCCATCCATTTGGTTGAATAGCGTTTTGGCATTTTAGCTGATGTTAGTTCGTGATGAAAACTTTAAATCTCAACCCTCACCCTAATCATTTACTGTCAATTCTAATTCCTCACACTGCTTTATCATCGTCATTTAGTCCTAGTTAATTGGTAGACATTCTCATGGTCACTTTAGCGTCGCCTAAAGGTCGTCCATAAAATATAGTTTCATGGATTGATATTTTTATATCATCTGTTTATTAGTACTGAAATGAAAACAGATGTATGCGTTGTTTCAAAGTCAACAGATATTAGTCAAATCAAATATATATGTGGATAAATTTAGATATCAATCTATTTTTATAATTGATGAGGTATAATGATCTATAAAATAGCTACCTGACTCATTGAAGAGTTAATTCAACTTTCTGGGTTAGTTAAGTAACTCTAATTGTAGTTTATCAGTAGGAATTCAAACTACAAATACCATTAATGGATCTTATATGACATAATATTCTCATTTTACATTTATGATAACATGATAATACGTTTAAATCGTCTGCTGTTTTATGAATAGTGATTTGTTTCTTATCGACTACGTTTTCTGTAATTACACTACAACATTGTTAACTATTCATTTTTCTATTATAGTTTATTTCGTTTGCATAACTTAACCACACATCTGATAATTACATCGTTTTATTTGATATTCTATATATAGCAAATTGTGCACATTCTTCAATGGAACAATAATAATATATATTTCCAATATAAGTAGGAGCCCAAACAGCTGACAAATAAGGAATGTCACATTGATAACTTTGCATCATTTGTTTTATTAATTTCCTGCACATTAAAAAATGAATATTTGTTAAAAGTGAGCACAAACTTGTTAGAAAGTAACTAAATATTTAGTGGTTCGCATTTTTGTTTATAATAAGTAAATTAAGTTTGCTGATTATTTGAAAAACACTTTAACCTTATTAACTACCGTATAAATCAAATCACTTTGCGTATTGTTCACACTGATGCATCTATAGTTTCAGAGAAGCAACTTCAAGTTACTCCTAAATAATAAATTTAGTGGTTTACATACTTTAGTCTTTTAAAAACGGTACATATTTATGATTATTCAACAGTGTCTTTAAGTGAACGACTAAGCTGACTGACTGGTGTAATTACTTATAATCTAATGTCTTTATATGTAATCAGTAACAAAATAAAACTTGAGAGTGAGGTGGTAGAGATTTGTAGCTCAGGTGAATGATTTTGATGGAAGTTTGTTCTCTGAGCTGGATGGTTTGGTCGTGGAGCTTTCATCGTTCTTCTGAACGACGTCATCAGCACAAACTTCAGAATTTCCCCGTATGTATACGTCGTTCAGAAGAACGATGAAAGCTCCACGACCAAACCATTCAGCTCAGAGAACAAAACTCCATCAAAAACTTGAGAGTTTATCTAATCACAATTCGCTTCAACTTCATTTAACAAAGGTAATACAATTAAAAATCGTTTTGATCTTAGTTAAAAAGTGTAACCTATAAGTCAAGATGAATTTATGTTATTTAGGCAATAAATGTGGATTTGTGATAAATTCTAGTAAATACATAATAGATCATAGAGGTCAGATGAACCTGATATTAATGAACTTTTAGGTTTCAGAAGAAAATTTTAGCGGTGGCACGTTATTCCAGTCTTATTTACAACAATTAGCAGCAAATTACGTATAGGACAGCATTAGTTTGAGACCTCTTAATATTGTGATCCCTACTACATATCAAAAGGTTTTCTTTGTTAAATCGTAACTTATGTATCTTACTCAATTCAAACAGTTTGATACTGATCAAACAATGATGATACCTTCAATTAAACGAATATTTTAAATGAAAATGACACATTAAAAGTTTTGCTCAGATTATAATTTTAAATATGAACGTAAATTCTTGTTAATCAGATGAAAACAAAATAATGATAAATAAAAACATATTTGTAATATCGGAATGAATTAAAACTGAATAGTTGGAGTTTCTAGACCCAGAATATGCTTCCCATCTCAAGAACTCATAAATTTTTTCGAGTCATTGCAAGTTTTAATAATATAATAGGTGAACTATAAACATGATACATAAGAACAGATTTGACCATATTGGTACGTAATTTAAATTTAAGACGATTCTATGGGTGACATCTTTATGCATATGTATGCATGTGAAGAGCTGTGTAGAAATTTGATGTTTTTAGTATGAATGAGTAATTTTATTTAACATGAATCTAAACAAATTCTTTTACCAAGAGACATTATATACATTGATTGCAAGAAAAAGTATTGAATTTTAGCAATGTATGTTCTTGATCTATTCAACTTTCTTTATAGTTAAAGTATCAAGCTTTGTTGATACAATGCACTGAATATAATAGACTTGTTTTTAAGTATACACTATGGTGGAAATTCATTCAGATATGTGTCTAATATTATAGTTGTATTCTTTAAAACTTTATTTTCTTTGTTATGAATTTGATTATGGATATGCTTACCAATTTATACCCACTATACATATTGTTTGAATAACAAAACTTCAATCGTTATTCAGTCAGTCAACTGATAAACTGTGATAATTTTAAATTAAATGCATAATACTGTCGGCTTTTTATAAAATTTACATTACATGATATATGTGTTACATTTATACGGTAGTAAAAGACATTAATTTTTTTTTTCCAAATATATTTATGAAGTAACAAAAAGAAATGTAACTTGTAATAATAATAAATAGAATATTAGACATGTATTATCCATTTCACCGATCAATAAAAAAGAACATTTTATTACTATGCATGAATGAACTTTTAGTCAATCAACATAACATTGTAATAGTATATTTTGCCAAGATAAAAGTTATCTAATATTATAGATTGTGTTATTTTATTTTATTTTTTTATTTTTCAGTAAAATAAAATGATTTGCCATATTTTTAAATACATGGAGAATTAATCTTATCTAAGTTTTCTTTCTTTTTATTTTTTCTCTTCTTTTTTTTGTTTTAAAACTACATTAACAAAATTGTTTCTAAAGTAATAACATCTAGAGCAATTAACATTTTAACATGAAATGATTAAACATGAAAGTTACTACTAATAGTCATGGAAAAAAAATAATGATAATAGTAATAATAAACGGGTAAAAATCTGATCACATATGTCGTTTGTGAAAAACAAAAACAAAAAACTAAACAACAACGGAGAAAACTATTCAAATAATGATCTTCAATTATACAGATCCATAAATGAGATCAAGTTACTATGATAGTTTTTTTTGGTAATACAGAAATATTTTTAATCAAATATTCACTTTTGTTGCTGTTGTTTAGAATTCAACTGACGTTTATTAAATAAGAGTGAAGTATAATTAATGACTATAGAGTAAATTCATATTTTTGAATGGAAATTAAAAAGGAATAAAAAAATAGGTTTCATATTGTTTAAATGTAGAATAGTCACGATAGTAATAATAGTTTTTTTAGTTCATTATTTAATTCTTAACCGGTAGCACAGTGAAATGATGGTTCAGTTAATTGATTTGCACTTTGTGAAATAAAAAAGACGAGAAAAAAACTTTGGAGAAAAAAAATAAAGTGAGATAAAATAAGTCGTAAAAATAAGTTTTCAATTCAATATCTTCTTATGTATAATAATTATGTCGTATTTTTTGCAATAGTGAACAATACTACATTGGTTGATTTCCTTTCTGTAGGCGATAGGATTTAAAAATTATATTAGAAATATTTAAAGAACATGAGCAGATAATTATTGGGGTTATTTTGTAAAATTTAACACCAATTAGTAGTAGTAGTATCAGCTATTTCCCCTGTAATTTCCCATTTGGTTTTTTTAGAAACCTAATTTTTCAAATAAATCTAATATTTGAGATCGTGTTTCATTAAAACTTTTATTCCGAGACTGTTACTGTTAACCACTTTTTATCATAGTTTCGATTATTCAAATATATGTGAATATGGAACACTCTCAGACCATATCTGGCACACAATCCAGGTGAAATATAAAATAATATAAAATAAATGATATTTGAAAATAATTATGTTCATGATTATACATAAAAAACTACCGGATTTCTAGAAACATTTCTTGAATAGTGGCACTGGTAAACGTAATAAAAAATGAGGGCCTCCGTCTACGTATTTATTGCTGAAAAATAGGAGATTGTTATGAAGGTGCACACTAAAAGTGTACAGTTTAATAGATTTTACTATACCTGACAATAAATTTAAGTTTTGTGCATAAAAATTTTCACATTATGATAGTATACAGTAATATTTGACATGATTTTTATAAATTATAAGTGAATTATTGAAAGAGCCAGTGGGCATGATCGGTCAGTGCATTCCAAAAAACGTTTATTATTTAGCAGGAGTGCGATGGCCAAACCATTATACAAGCGATTTTCACAACCTGTTCTATTTTTTCGGTGATCATGGAAGTTCGTTGAATAGATGACTTACACAGGAAGTGTTTAACATTTCTCCTTGCAAAGATAATTTATCGATTTAATTTCTTTGATCTATTGAAATCTGTTTGTCAATGAATGATGTCGGCTGAAGAACAATGGATATCAAGCATCACTTGAAAAGTCACTTCGTCCTTGTTTAAAACCTCTTAGTTATGCATATCAAAGACTGCTTGTTTGTTTATAAACCATAAATTATCGTTTTCTTGTGCATTTCTGTACTCTTAGACTACCGGATCAAAGTCTGTTGAAGATGTTATTTACCATCACCCAATGCTTAATCTCACTTCACTGACTGTAAAGATCATAACGTTTTAGCGAAGATCTGAATAAGTGGTCTGATATCCGTTAATCTCACATCGAAGTTCAGAGAGCGTTAAAAAGTTATTTTTAACTGAAGTGATGACAAAATCTTATAGGTAAAGTGAAGGTATTTTAGTTTAAAATTAAAGTGATATCGAAATAGATTTTTAGAGCTCGAGCTATATTAATACACACTTTATAGTAGTTTACCACGGATAAGAAAGGAAATAGTTCTAAACTCTAAAACAGAGTAAACAATCTAATGAACAAACGGTATAAAAGCGGCCGAAAGGTGTTCAGAACTATATAGGATTGAATAATTGTTTCATTCAAGTAGAGTAATACCCAAAACATCGAATCCTGTAGCCTAAGATAGCACCTCTCTGTATTAGTTTTTTTAAATTAAAAATGTGAACGAAATCACTAAGTTTAGAGTTAATCGTGTGATAGTAACCCATTCGCTGCTTGTCTTCAGCCCATATTTATCGATAATTGATCAAGTCCCATATTAAAATAAAAAACGTAATCAATGCTTTTTTTCATTTTACCATGGATCATGGTTTGATATCACCGGTGACACAAACCAACATTCATCTAAAATAAATTCTACAAGCCTTTTAGTTAAATAATTTAGTACCCTGAGGGTTTTGTAGACTATGGAAAATTATTTATTTTTAATTGTATTACTCAATGATACGGACGGCTTATCTAATAACCACTTGAAAATAATGTAAACAAAAACATCTGAAACTGTTATTTATATTCACTGACGTAACTAAAATAGTATGTTTTATTAGGTCCAATTTAGATTAGAAAAGTTAGTTACAATTATTATAGTGAATCACTGAAAACAAGTTAAGACATTTAGATTTACTATAGATTTAAATGTGATCATATTTTATTAATCATTCGTTACGAATAGATTTACCTCGCTAGGCGAGCGGTATTTTAATACATTATGAACTTCAAATATGAGCTTCGAAGATGTGAATCTGAATAGATCATCAGAGAATGATTGTTTGTGGAAAACATAATGATTTGGTAGATTTCACATTTTAAATGTTTATTCATCGTAAATTAATTTATAAACAAATAAAGAAGTGTCTGTTTTGACGTTTTGCTTCTAGTCATATTACAATCGTTTATAAGTGAAAGGTATTAATGATAATTTTAGAAAAGTTTGAGCTAAGCTAACGCTAAACTGTGTCGGGTAGAGACAGATATCTAACTCAGTACAATAGAAGATGGTCGTGTAATTTCGTAGATTGGTTCATGTTAGACACTAGCACCACTGGATGCCGGTTCGGTGGTTCAGTAGATTAAGCAATCGTGAGTGCAAGTGAAGGCCCCAAGTTCGAATCTCGCGAGCGGGATCGTGGATGTGCACTGCTGAGGAGTTCCACAATAGGACGAAACGGCCGCCCAGTGCTTCCAGGTTTCCAACGGTGATCTAACATCAATTAGTTCATGATCTCAATCAAAAACATAATAATCTCCACTACCCCTATACTGTTAATCATTTTCTGTAAGACAGAAAAACGAACATCATTCACATAATAATATTACAAGAAGTTTACCCTACTGAGTTTTCCAATAAACTTTCCACAATTAAATAAATATAGTTGCAACTAAAGGAATATTAAAATTGTGTTAATGTAATCCTTTAAACATCAAATAACATCTTTATTTTGGTCTAATTTAATACAACGTAACAATGAATTGATATTAGTCCCACATATTTACTTGATGTCTTCTTTACCTTCACTTTTTTTCTCTCTGAATGTAGGGATTAAGTTAGATATACCAAACCTGATTGTTTAAAGAAATATAATAATGGACACAAACTAGCTAGGAATTCATGATTCCTACGATCATCAGAAATAATGGGTAGTCTCTTTTTGTTGTTGTTGAGATAATCAACTATCTACATAATTAATTTTCTAATTAAAATTAAAGAGAACAATTAATTTAACTGAGACAAATTTTCGTCATTCAAAATTCATATAAACATTTCTTACACAAAATATTCACTTACTAATGCTTGTACACCTAAATCAATTTGAAGCCATTCTGAAGAGGATTTAAATTTCGCACACCAAGCTAAACCATTTGTTCGAAATAAGCGTGCATTTTTTTCTTCACATCCTTTCACCAAACTGGATGGATAAGTTGAAGATGAAGTAATCTGCCAATCAGCAATTGTACCTGATATCATACCTAGTGGGTCATCATTTTCACATTCTTTGTTTAAAACTAAAAACAAACATAAGAATTAAATTAAATGTAACTTTTAAATATGCACATTAGTTATTAGTGAAAAACGTCTAGTGAAATTACAAATGATTGATTTATAAATAAAATACACAGTTATCACAATTCTTAAACTGTCGTATATTCCACAGCTATATTAAATATTTAATTGATCAGTAGTGTGAACCTAGAGCGTTACTGGTTTTCTCTCAGCATAAAATACAATTCCTTAATGTTAACCATTATTGAATATTAACGTTTATAAACACTAATTTAATAAGTATTTTAGTGAACGAACACTCAAGTGGGAAGAACCAATTCAGTGTTAAAAACAAAATTACAGTCTTCATAAAATCTGAAAACCATACATTAAATACTTCAATTGCACATCAAACAATTGTCCCTCACAAACTTTACTGTTCCTTCATTTCTGTTGTTATTACAATTATTATATGTTTACATTACGGTTATCTTCAATGTGGTCTTCTAAACCGACTGCTATCAGGCGTTTCACTTCTGATTTTGGTAACAACCTATTTATGTCCGCCAACATAAATAGCATACACCACAGTATAATTGTACTGAGATATCTCAGAATATCAAATGTAAGTTCATTTTCAGTTTTATTACCACTAAGTATAATGAGAAAGCGTGTACAGAAAACTACAAAAAATCAATACCTAATTCATAATAAGTATAATGTAGAAAAACTGTTGGTTGTGAAGAAGCGAAGCGATTTACAATATCAGTATAGAGGTTGCGAAGATTATTAAGTTTTTGATTGAGATCATGGACTAATTGGTGTTGGACCACCATTGAAAACCTAGAAGCACTGGACGGCCATTTCGTCCTATTGCGGGACTCCTCAAAAGTGCGCATCCACGACCCCGCTCGAGGGACTCGTACCCATGGCCACCAGTCTCGATCGTGAACGCTTGAGCTGCTGGATCACTGAGCCATCCACTGCTTCCAGGTTTCCAACGGTGGTCTAACATCAATTGGTTCATGATCTCAATCAAATTACAATAGTTTCTAATGAGAGAAAGAACAAAGGTTAGTGCAGAATAATATGAATTCATTTTATTTCGTTGGGTTCTCATCAGCTGCTTACAACCTAAAATATTTGAAATTCGAAGTTATTATAGATATTGACATACTTATACAACAGATGGCAATGAAGGATGAATATATGTAACATGATGTAGCAAAGATTTCGTTAGAGTTAGGGAGGTCATTAAATTTTGTTTCGAATATATAGAGTTTGGGAGGGAAAGTTCCAGAAAATTGAGATAGTGATTAGAAATCATGGAATTAAAACATATTAGACGATTATGTCCTATGTGTATACAATAGTTTCTCCCCGAAGAATATTTTGGTATTTGTATGAATTTGTTTTTGTAAGAAAACAATGGCCAAAACGTCAAAAAAATCTAGTTTTTTATATCAATGTGATCATTTAAATGTATACATAGTCTCAAAATTCTAAATGAGGGAAAAAACATTATTTCAACTCGTCAAAAATCTGAATGATAATATAACTGTTATAGTAGAATATTTTGAATGAAACCTAATAAAATGAAAACACTGGATTATTATTCAAGTAATACCTCTATTAAACTATCAAGATTTACAACGTATTAACAATTTACTTTTTGAATCTAATGTTATGTAATTTTGTTGATTACACACTATTCAAAAAAATTTTTTATTTTAAATTTTGGTTAAGTGAATAAAGCTTAATATGGTATTCTAAAATATGTTTCAAGTTTGCGATTAACATAGAGATCTTTTTAAAAAAATGACCGGTATCCACTGTTTCACCGTGATTATATTTAGGCTTCTAACGTTTAAGGTAGAAAACCATGTCGGAAATATAGAAACCATATGTAATTTACATGGAAGGAAAATTAACAACGAATATAGAAAATTAGTCGACTTCACTGAAATTGACAACTGATACCATAGTACAGAACAGAAAACTTGATTCTCAAATCTGAAAAATAATTACTGAACAGCCACCATATTAAAAATAAGTTTTGAATAATTTCAAGCATTCCGTTTTTCATTCTTTCTCATATATAGCTGTTTGAAAGAAATCACTTCAGTTACATTCTTCTTAATTCATATCATATTCATACCAATTATAAAACCGAATATTTCCACTAGCGTTTCGTACATACCGAGCCGTTTTGTTGCCTAATCTATTACTCTACATCACGCCAACATTTTGTTTTGGTCTACTACGTTTTGGATTCCAAAACTTACCGCTTAATTAAAAATTATATCCTCTATCATTAATGTAAAAAACTTAAGACATAATCAAGTTGAAAAGTGTTTAGATTTGTAGTAAAACTGATTACATTTACACTGTAACCGATTTTTAAATGAACGGTATTCATCTTTGTTTCGGTATCCAAGTCCTAGGCAAATATAAAAGCAACCTATTAAATACTAAGCAATCATCCGTAAGTCAAATGATATATTTTGTTAAGATTATTGACTCACTAAACTGCATGGGAATAGAGAAAACTGTCATGCTTTATATGCTTTGCTAGTTAGTGATAATGGGCTATTTTATTCTTAATAAACGTTTTCAGGACTCAAAAATTGTGAAACAATCAATCAAAATCGAATTTTTCCCAACTAACTCAAACTTCAGATTATAAATAACTTGATTCATTCTCTATTTACAAATTACTTTGTGCAGTAAACACAAAATGATTTTGTCAAGTAAGCTTTCTTCATTTAGTACATAAGTAATTCAAGTATTTTCAGGAATTCATCTTTGAGACAGCATCCGGTACACTACTCACGAGCTAGCAGAGTAACAGCTGTGTGATGTGCTTCCTATGAATTCTAGTTGAAAAGGTTTATCACTGTTTCTTTTATAAAGTGAACATTCACATTTATTATGAAATCATACTTCGATCTACCCTGCTAACGTAGTGTGAAAAAAACTATTCAACTAATGATTGTCGTAATAAATAACATACTAAGTACTGAAAAATACAAGTTATACATTGTGCAACGTATATACTATGAGTCTATATGCCAGATTTAAGTGCAGATTCATGAACATTTTATGTAATATCTGGTGAAATTAAATATATAGTTATTTTAGGTTCCATTTAGATCAAGCTCTACTTGTTAGTAAAAGAAACTTCATTAAAACACAAAACATTATGACAATATAATAACTTAATAGTTGAATTCACGAGCCAATTAAAGCTAGAACAACATGGAAAACGTCAAAGCACTGCACGGCAGTTTCGCCATATTGTACGACTCCTCAGCAGTGCGCGTCCACGATACTGCACAGCGAGTTTCGAATCCAGGATCTATCAGTCTCACACGCGAACGCTTAACATCTAGACCACTGAGTCGACCGAGGTCTAACGGTTCTAATGTCTAACTTCAACTGATCCGTGAAATCGAAACACTGTTCACCATTGTGTTCTGTGATTCACTATCATAACTGATGCAGTTGAACGCCACTGGTTACCGCTCCTCACTAGAACTTCAGGAAATATCTCTTGGAGGCTATCACTATTGAGCATATGACGATTATAATCAGAGAGGTGTTTTGTGGATATTATAGTAATCTAATAGTTGAATTCATGAGTCAATGCTTTCACGTTTTCCATGGTGGTCTAGCTTCAACTGACTTAAAAATTCAACTATTATATTCCTATAATATCCATAAAACGCTTTCCTGATTAAAAATATAATAAATCAATGTAACACCTTTCAATAAACCTAAACGTTAATCAGTTAGCAACTGAAATCATTCATGATATATTTTCTAGTAATAATCTTAACTCACTAAAATGTTTGAGTGTAAAGAAAACTATCATGCCTTATATACTTAATTACTTAGTGATATTGTATTATTGTAATTATTCATTAAAACTTACTTGTATTTGGCAATTGAACATGTTCATTCAAACCAATAATGAATGGTAGTTCAGTCAAAATTAATAATAAAAACATATTTAATAATATATAATATTCATATGGTAATGACTTCATTAAAACAAGATCCTCTGGGGAAATTTTTAATAAAATCCAAATGAAATTTGTTTATGTTTCTTGTATATTCTAATGATCATATGTAATGAATATTGTATTGAACTCAATAAATACTTTCTAATATACCATAATTTCAGTTAGTATATTCACATTCCAATATATTTGAGTAGTAACTACCGTGTGTTTTTAGACAAAATTTTTTTATTGTTTCTATTCACTTGAAACTGATTTATAATCTTTTTCACCTCATTTATTTTATTAATGTGATTAATAGTACAGTGAGAATGGTATTGGTCACCATGTATTTGATTTTATTTCACATGCATATATAAAATAGTGGTACATACATTCAAAATAATGTGTGAAGATGGATAACTTTTAAAAGGAAACATAATGAAACCTAACTAATAACAACGGTTTAGTTTACCATAATTTTGCACACTAAAACACAAATAGACTAACTTTTATTTAACCAGTAATTTCATAGCACATTGAACATGTTACACGCACACACACACACATACATGTACACACACATCTATGTAGATATGTGAACACATTACCTTTTTTAACCCTAGCAATCTTTCAACAAATTATCTAAGGCTGAATCATAAATTCACAGTATTAAACTTGGTACCAAAACAAAAAAACTATATAAAAAATATTTTATGAATACTAATGGTTCTTCCACCATCCTATTTTGTATAGAAAAATAGTGATAAAAAGTTTTATTGTGATTTGTGTATATTTTTTTTCTCTTTATGAAATAGGAAATTCACTAAATGAAAGGTAATAAAAATTTAAAGTAGATAAAGTAAAACAGTTAACTCAAAATTGATTGTCTAAAGATAAAATCAGCATAAAAGTGTTTGATTGAAATCCTCTTTTCACATACACATAAATCTATTGATGAATTTACTACTGAAGTAGTTTAATTAGTAATTTCTTAGAAAACTTATACTAATAATGTTTGTTTGTTTTTCAGAGTAAATTAAATTAAAGTTAATTTTACTTGCTTAAATCATTTATTATCAGAAGGGGTTTTGTGAAGTTATTAGAAATTTCACTGATTGAACTCATGAGTCAATTGAAGCTAGACCACCATGGAAAACGTGAAAGCATTGACTCATGAATTCAACTATTAGATTATCATAATATCCACAAAACACCTCTCTGATTATAATCATCATATGCTCACTAGTGATAGCCTCCAAGAGATATTTCCTGAAGTTCTAGTGAGGAGCGGTAACCAGTGGCGTTCAACTGCATCAGTTATGATAGTGAATCACAGAACACAATGGTGAACAGTGTTTCGATTTCACGGATCAGTTGAAGTTAGACATTAGAACCGTTAGACCTCGGTTGACTCAGTGGTCTAGAGGTTAAGCGTTCGCGTGTGAGACTGATAGGTCCTGGATTCGAAACTGGCTGTGCGGTATCGTGGACGCGCACTGCTGAGGAGTCGTACAATATGGCGAAACTGCCGTTTAGTGCTTTGAGGTTTTCCATGTTGTTCTAGCTTCGATTGACTCATGATTTCAATCATAAATCATTTCTGTTCACTACTTTAGAAAAAAGATTTGAGAAGAAAGAATATAATTGTGTTTTAACACTTAGCAAATTGGTAAAGACAGATAAAAACTTTTCCAGCTGATATATCATGTATCTGTAAGTTTAAAGTGTTTTTTTCCTTTTTTAGAATAAAGTAACATTTACTGTCTTGAAATGAAATAGAGTCATTTCTTTTTAAGGTATTTTGTCTAATGTTTGAATGAATTATTATTTACTTGTCGTATGATATTGATGAATCTTTTGAGATTGTAAATGTTTGAATAAATTATGTTTTGTAAAGTGTAAATTACTAATTCAGAAAATATAAGGGAATGAAATAATTAATGTTTGGTTAGTTGATTGACTTACTCACTATATCTAATTATTTAGTAAGAAATTTACTATCAGTGTTTTAAATGTTACGAATGAATCTTAATGAGACACTTGTTTATAACATATATATGTTCTTATGCTTATACTGGAAATAAATCATTTAGTTATAACTGGAAATTAGCTAGGACAGTATCACAGAATGCGTCTATTTAAATCTAACCAAATCTATTTGTGAATGAGCTTACTTCGTGTTTTATTTTTACCATTTTGCAAGTAACGCAAAGAGTTCAGATGTAGTTACTCTATAGAATAGCTTTTAAGTTTTTATGTACAAATTGTTATGAGTAGTTCCTGATATATGTGGAAGCATCAGCCATTTAAAAATTCAAACTACACTTAAAAGTATCTTTACTGACCCAAAATAATAATAAAATGATGTCGGAATTAATTTTAATTTGAACTAAGATTTAACGTTAGGTGAAATGTTTTGGAAAGAGCAGACATTTTCTTTGAATTTATTTAAAACAATCTTCAAGTTTCTATACCTTTGTACTTGAACTTTCACCTAAACATTTATTTAAAGTTCAACTTCTAAATTCCTGTTATTTTTATTATGTTTATTGATTAAAGACAAATTATTTTATAAACAAATAGTAACCAATTCACTTGATATTGTTTGCTTAATTCTTCCCATTGATGTTTAGGGCTGCAATTAATCAGTCTCTTATTGGTACATGTTCATACTGTCAGTATTACCTCGATATTGCGTTAATTCACAAGCAGTATAAGCAAAGATGGATAATGTTTAGCAGTGGAATTCAACTTTGAGTATTAATAAATCACTCCTTGTTTAGACAACATCTAACAATTCTATATAGTTTCAGTTAGAAAGATGATACTTCACAATGATTGACCCTAATTTATATACATATAGTTGATGCGTTTTAACAGATTATTTGTTGAGATACAAAATAGAAGGCTTATAAAAAACATTTAAGAAGACTGAATTATAAGCTCTCAATAAATCGAAACTCATTCTCATATGCAGTCAAACAGCTGAAGTACAATGCTATGTGCCATAGAAACTAACTTCAAGATAGAAACTTATGAAATACGAAAGAACAAGTAACTGATAAAATTCTTAATTAAATATTTATTTGTAGTTTATGTTGTCATTCAACATATTTGAATATGAATTAGTTTGAAAATATATTACTTTAAAAGATCATTCAACTTCAAGGTAGAATAAGGTAGGTTGATTACAAACTAGTGTTTCTCAATTGTTTGTTTGAACGAAGACATAATAATAAGTTGAACATAAATATATTCAGAAAATTCAAACATTCTGAGAGATACTTAGATTATCGTTGCTTTCATGCGCTGCGTACGGAAGTCACTGTTGTTAAAAGCTTAATTAACAGAAGTATTAAGCTAGTTACAGATAAAAAAGCCCAACAAGTTGAACTGAATAAAGTTTTGTCTACACTTGGGAATAACAACTACCCAAAAGTTTTTAAAGGTTATTAGAAATGAAAGAAATTAAACTAAAATGTAAACTGAAAGATCGGAAATCCACCATTGTCATCTCATATCGTAGTAAAACATCGGAAGAAATAAAGCGGATTCTAAACAAGCATGATGTAAGATTCGAACCTAGGACCTATCGGTCTCGCACGCGAACGCTTAACCTCTAGACCACTGAGCCGGCCGAGGTCAAACGGTGTTAATGTCTAACCTCAAGCGATCCGCAAAGTTGAACCACTGTTCACCATTGTCATCAGTAAGTTACTATCTGACAACTAACTCGGTTGAACTCCATTGGTCACTGCTTCTCACTAGAACTCCAGGATATACCTCTTGAAGTCAGTCACTAGTGAGCATATATTGATTAGTATCAGAAAGGCTTTTGTGGAGATTGTATTAATTTCAACATATGAGATCAAATCAAATCGTTAATGTTTGGGGTTGTTTAATACAAAGTGTTAACTTGAATCTGTTTTTAGGTCAAATGAAATTGTGAGATAAATGATTAAAATAAATATGGTCAACAAGGTGTGAGAGCGAGAGAGAGAATAATGCAATAAAAATCAGAAATTACGTAATATGCAGAATAATATGAATTAGGTCAGATATTTTAGAGAGGAGTGGATGCTGAATAAATTTCTGAAAAAGGTTATCAAGTGTAATAATAATAATAATATTGGGATATTAAAGAGGAAGAATATTTTTGTAAAATCTCAGTGAATGAATTTGAAATAAATCCAACGTTTCGCCTGGCAATCTGGTCCAAGCTTCTTCAAGTAAATATAATCAGACATCAAAATTATCGAAGCAATAATAATGATAAAAAATAGTAATTAGTTTGGGACATAAAAATGAACATTAATCACCTTACGTCATCATATTGTAAAATTGACTATTAACTAGTTGACCCCGAAGTTGACCAGGGTAAAAGAAGCAGCTAAACATATTTCTTTTGGATACAAAGCTCTGGCCTTTTGATTAGAAATTTAGGGATTATTAATTTGGATTTCTAATCGTAGAACCAAATGAGAAATTATTCAAAAGAATATTCTTCGTTCATATAATTGTGTTTTAATATAATGGGAATAGTTCAAGTGAATAAATCATACTTTCATTCTATATTTACTTTTACAGAATGTATTCAAAACAATTTTACTGATTAGTTCATAACAACATCAAATTGACAGAATATGAATAATATACACTTAATAGATTTATCAAACATTTCAAAATATTAATGACAAATAGTGGCTAGCAGTGGAATCCAGGACGCACTTTTCGTCCTATTTGGGACTCGTCAGCTGGATGTACCTGCATCTCAAATTTGACGTTCACAGTAGGACTCGAACCCAGTACCATTCGCTTCAAACGCCATCGCGTTATTCACTCAGCTACTGAGTCGTGATAGCCACTTGCTTGTGCAATGGGGTGAATTTAAATTCAGAGTGAACATCAACTCTGAGATGCAGGTACATCTAGCTAACGAGTCCCAAACAGTACGAAACGCGCGTCCTGGATCCCACTGCTAGTCACTATCTATCATTGCTTACAAAGCATGTGAATTAAGGCATTATTGAGGCATACTCACAGTATGCACATGTGCCAATAACAGACTGATCAATTTCAGTTTTAAACCTCAATGGGAAGATAAAAGCCAAACAATACCAAGTGAATTTCAAAATATTTATTTCATAAAGTAATAAAAATGTTTTATCGTATATTTTCATTAGCTGACTAATACCTTTAGTTTATCAACTGGAAAACTATTGAATCTTATTATTAACATTAGTATTAGTAGAATGAAATTATTTCAGTAAAGTGTGAAGAAAGTTAATCATTATGTACAAAAGTATTACAGAAATCATTTTAGTTTATACAAGAAATTTGATAAATATTTATTTATACTAATGAAAACAAAAAACCGTCAACAAAGTCTATTAACTATCAGTCTCATAAAAACATAAAATAGTCTAGTGGGTAGATGATATAAGTGAACAATACCAAGTGAATATAACTTCACCCCATTGCACAAGTAGGTAGTCTAATGTTTATTTTATAAGTATTGAGTAATTTTATTTTTATCATCATTAAATGTGTCATACTGTTTTTATTCTATTGAACATTAGATACTTTAATGGTTCAAAATCTCAAAAAAACAATCAGAATATTCCATTCATTTATTATGATCTTTAATTAATTAAAGATGGATAAAACAAATTAATTAATTAATATATTTGTAATATCCCAATGAGTAGAAAAATTAGATGTTCTGACGTTTCGTAACCTGGTGTAAGCCACTTCTTCAGAGAATAAATAACCAGAATAAAATTAATCCAAGTTTTCAAAAAAGATGGATAAAATACCGACATAATGATTTTTGTTTTGTTTACACTTCACGTAGGTTACAAACTTTTCAGTTTAAATAATATTTTATACTCTTTTCATAAGATTACAAGTGGTAGTAAATATTCAGTATAATAAATAATAAATAGAAAGATTATAAATCAAGAACTATAAAGATACATTTATACTCTTCTAAGTCATTATTCATTGTTGCATTGACAGCACTGAAATATAAGTTGATCAAGTCTGAACTGTATTGAACAGTTAGCTAAAATAGATTTAAATTTATTTCGTTGCCTTATAAAGCACTAGAACATTTAAACAGAATCACCTACTGCTACTTTTCAGTTTAAAAATATTCAATATAAACTGTACATTGATCAAGATTTTCTATGAATAGATTTGTATAGTATGAAGAGTATATTCGAAACAAAGTGATTATGATACCATTATACTGAAAACCAGAGGGTCACTAAACTATTATATGTTTGAACATGGATTACAAGTTGTTGTATTTTTTCCTATGTATATTCTTCCGATTCAATAAATAACTTACTGAGTTATTCACTGAAGAAGTTCATTTAACAAATAATACATAACTGTGTATTTTGATTAATGACTAAATATAATAAAGTAACGTTGAATCCCTTTATATTCATTTGACTAATTAAATTTGAATGGAGAATGTAATGGTAAAATTTCATTCTGACACATATTTAAGCAACAAAACTATAGACACTTGTTTAATCCATGTGTCTACAGACGTATATCCATCATTATAAACATTATTTGTTCTACTTATCCATTACGTCTAAAAAACACTAGTGTAAATGTTTTTTTTCCTGAATAAAACATTTTTCGATAATAGTTTTAATCGTATTCACTTCGTGCTTTTTAGTTGTATCTTCTCATTGTTATTTACGACTACATTCGGTTACTATCTTGTTGGCAAATCTGCATCCTGTGCGAACTGCCTCGATATTGCCTGAAATCACAAGTTTTGTAAGCAAAGATCCGATGGCATTTGAAGCGAACGGTACTAGGTTCAAGTCTCAGAGTGAACATGAACTCTGAGATCCAGGTACATCCAGCTGACGAGTCTAAAATAGGATGAAACGAGTGTTCTGGTTTCCACTGCTACCCACTATCCATCTTTGGCTATAGTTTTAATCGATTAAAAAATTTGGTTGCTATTCAAATGTAGGTGTTCCTTTTTTTTAAAAAAAAACACTTAACTGGCTAGAAAAATGTATAAATTGAAAGAATCACAGTTAGATTATGAATAATAATTTGACTTATTACCATAACACTTTTTACATACAGAAGCAATTTCAAATTATATTTAACACAGCATGTAAAAAGAAAAAAGAGAACTTGATAAATTTCCATTCTTAAAACAATCAAGTGAAATGTAGCCCAAAACAAAGTTGTTGTAATTTTTATTAATATTATTATTGCTATTTGTAATATTATTTCACTAATTCTTATTCTTCAATATAATCCTGCTGAGATATTCAATTACTTTAATATTTATACATGTAACGAATATATATTTGTTGCTCAAATTATTCATACAAATAAAAATTAGAAAAAGAAACGGGAAGAGGAGGAAAAGGAGGAGGGGGAGGAGGAGGAGAAGGTCTATTCTTTACAATAAAAAAAACAATAATTTATAATACTTGTAATATCCAAGTGCAAAGTATAGACAAGTAAATAGAAATCTATTCATTGAGTGAACATAAAAATTAAATTGTATAATACTTGTAAAAATACAAAAATCTAAAGTATTTCATTATTATTACCATAAAAAATATCTTTAATGTATATTAATAAAATATATAATTACGAAAAGGAGATATTGGATATATATCCAATGTTCTCACCTATGTGATTGAATGTTTAAAACAAGACATGATATAAGAAACAATAATACAATGAAATAGATACTTATTAAATTAAATAATAGAGATTTTGTTCTTCATTAAAACAATTGGTTGATACAAGTGTAGTTTATGTTCCATATAAATTAAATTTTTCTTTGTTTTTCTTCTCTCTTTTTTTTAAAAAAAATTATGTTTGGTGATAGAAAACAATGAATAGTATTATTGAAGAGAAAGAAAATAATGTATTCAATGTAATATACATAATTGTTTATCATGCAGTGATTTTTAATTAATTTTTCCTTGAAATAGCTTGAACCAGATTGCCAAGTGAAACGTTGAATTTACTTCAAATTCTTCTTCTTTAGTTAAATATATGCTGTAAATCTTTGCCATAATTCAGTGGGATAGGTTCATTTCTATGCGATTAGATTTTGTATATTGAAACAGGAAACCATGATTTTGAATGAAATAAAATTTGATTATGACACCATAATGAGATCATTAAATGGTTATTCTTTCTTTTCATTAAGATATTTACAACTTTTAATAGCAAAGTTGGTAGAAAATAAAAATTTGTCAGCAACTAATTGAATGGTTCCACACTAAGTGTTGCTTTAGTTCAGTTTTTAAATATTTTTTCTAGTGATTCATGACTAAATGTAATTTTGTGACGAAGCTCACATCAAATCATAATTATTCTTTTAAGTTCTAAGCTGATAGCCTGGTGGACTTTACAAAAACGTTTCCCAACATGTACAAATTCTCCTAGCTTCAGTGAACATGTTAAACATACTTATAATTAAACAAACTATCAATAAGTTAGTAGGTTCGTTTCAAGTATTACATGAAAGAATGTAAATTCACGTTGTTTGTATACACTTAACAAATTTATTTATTTGATTGAACCGACATCATATTATTTCTGTTCGGTAATATGCACAGTCAATTTATTTTTTATAACAAAACTGTCAGATAAAATGTAAGTCAAGAAAACATACCAAAATAGGTTTTCACTATGTAATTGGAGTTACCATTTTCAGCCTTGTCAAGAATATTTATATTTTAATAATTACAACATTCGACTTGTAAATACAAAGCAATATATATTACTTTTATATGGCATGTGTTAATCTCTATATGAAAGTTCACTTACCAGGTTCATTTATAAATAAACAAACGGTTTATTTAGTAAATGGAATTTCAGTACGATAAAATGATGCTAGAAGCTTTATTGTTAATTACCAGTAGCATGTTATAACCTGTTTAATTCAATACACTACTTAGCTCTTTATACGAATTCCGCATATTTTAACGTGACATATTCAGATGGAAAAGATATTATTCATTCTATTTGAAATTGATTCCTAAATATAAATTCAAATGATTAGTTGGATAAATTTAGTAATAAAATCTGTATTTCTTCATTGCAAAAACGAATGATAAATGTCGTTTTACATTAGTTGGTAGTATTTGTCTAATAGGTAGAAGCAGGCAATTTAAGATATCAAAGGTTTCCAACTTCATCCAGATTTCAGATAAACCCTACTGACGAGTACCAAAACTTGGGTTCAAGGTCGCCCGCCGACTATTTGGTACTGCCTGACATTTTTGTACTGTACGGATAATGTCAAATCTTTTGGACAAAGGATCAAATTGCAAGCTAATAATTAAATTTAGTCAGTATCAAAGATCAGACAAACAGCATATTATAGATCAAACAGTGATCAATAAATAGAATTTTAGAATGGAATTCTATAATCACTTGCAAGGTGGTAATTGATAAGTAAATACATTGTATCTAAACATTGGAAACACTAACGAACATAGTTCTCTAAACTTTCTGAGTTGATAAATAACCTCTGACCTGGACAACATCCAGCAGTAAGATATTATATAAACTGTATTGAGACAAGACGTTCTTCAGTACTACTCAAAAATGTTTTAGAATAGTTCACTTTTTGATTCCAAACCGTGCCTTTTAAAAGTAGTTTCTCATTTTATCATAGTAAATCTTGTGAGGAACAAATTCAAAAGTATCTCATTACATCATTGCTTCAGTCAGTCAGTCAGCTACAACGTAGGACCAGGCACATATGTGCATCGGTCCAGGTTGCCATACCTCATTAGCACAGCAAGATGAACACCGGATTCATAGGAGTGGTTAGGTCAAAGGTTGCAATAAGGATATAGTATAGGAAGAAAGAATTAGTTCGTAGACAGAAAGAATGAAGTGATTTTAGTCTCTTAGTTTAAGGGAAGACAGGGAGTGTATACACCGACGCCATTGTGATCGATTCTGAGCCATGTCCCCAAGAGTCTCCAACCATTGGTTACGAAAGTCACGCGGACCCCAACCAAGTAGTCTGCATCTACCAACGTGGCTCAGACTAGAAGTTAGTGACTTCAGGGACTGATGCCACGTTTTGGTTTGGCCGCCCCTAACTTTCTTCCAACCATCCCCTACCCCGGTTAGCATTGCACGTCGTGGTAATCGGTGTTCAGGCATACGTAATACGTGGCCCAACCATCTCAGTCGATGAAGATTCATAACCTCATCAACTGATTTACCATCATTCCCTAATACCCAGCGTCTAACCTCACTATTACTTACCCGGTGATCCCAGCAGATGCCAGCAATATTTCTAAGGCATCTGTGGTCAAATACTAGTAGCTTACGGGTGTCTTCTACTCTTAAGGGCCATGTTTCGCTGCCGTAAATTAAAACAGAACGAACTGCCGCGCAGTATACTCGTCCTTTTATTGATAGACGGATATCTCGCCTTCGCCAAAGGTGACGCAAGTTGGCAAAAGCCAAACGAGCTTTTCGAATCCGTGCTGAGATTTCGTCCGATACCAACCCATTAGGGCTGATCAGACTTCCAAGATAAGTGAAGTTATCAACGCGTTCGACTAATGTAACAGATAAATATTCTAAACAAGTGACAAGCTATCAATATGGAAATTAAACAAACAAATATCAGAAAGGGGTTTGTGGAGATTGTACCAATTTAATAGTTGAGTTCATGAGTAAGTTGAAAACTAGACCACCATGAAAAACCTGGAAGCACTGGACGGCTATTTCGTCCTATTGTGAGACTCCTCAGCGGTGCGCATCCACCATCCCTCCCCGCGGGGTGCAAACCCAGGACCTGTCGGTCTCGTGCGTGAACGCTTAACCTCCAGATCACTGAGCTATTCGGAATCCAACGTTGTAAGTCAAAATTAAGCAACGACTAATATTTTAGTTAATAAACAATTGGACTGTTCTGAAAGTTATGGGTGATATATGACATTACTTTTGGTGCATATAATCATGATAAACTACACGTACGAATTAAAATACATCAACTATATTTCATTAAATAATTACATCGTTTATTTTTTCCATTTTGATAAGCTTGAAGGGACTATGACTTACAGAACTACTATAGTTATTAGTTTTAATGTTGTCTGTTAAAGATGTTTTAATTCTCTACCCATTTTGATAGATGTAAAGTAACTGTTAATACCTTCATCACTTCAAATGTTAAGTAATTTGAAATAAGATGTTCGGAGTTATAGGATTGATACTGATCACAATTGGTTACTGGAACAAGTATTACTGTTAACCTGAAAACATTTTTCAATTAATGTATGAAGTCCATGTTATTTAGACATTTGTTGACACATGAGAACTACATCAAGGTCCCCCTCCATGAATACCTTATTAATTGAGCTTTATTAATTTAGACTATATATGTCATATTCACTTTTTCATCCACTTATATTCATATTTATTTATTGATGGTTGACAGTTATTATTAGAGAACTATAACTCTACATATTATATCTAAAGTGACAATAATATATGACAAAATAAACGTATGTTCAGTTATTCAGCATAAATTCTAGTTCTATAGATTGTTTTAATATATGTAAAATATTTTCTGAACAATCTGTTTTTATGAAAATACTAATAAATTGATAATTATGTTACGTTTATCATTAAAAACAAGAGCAACATATTTACAACTGCGGAACATCTCGAACTCAAAACAATTGTCAGCCAACACCAAGGTCATAATTTTCAATACAAATGTTAAGACAGTTCTACTGTATGGGGCGGAAACCTGAAAAACTACGAAAATCATCATCCAGAAGTTACAAGTGTTTATTAACAGCTATCTACGCAAAATACTTCGAATCCGTCGGCCAAACACTATTAGCAACAACCTACTATGGGAGAGGATAAACCAAATCCCAGCGGAGGAAGAAATCAGAAAGAAGCGCTGGAATTGGAAAGGACACACATTGAAAAAAGCACCCAACTGCATCACAAGTCAACCCCTCACATAGTATCCTGAAGGTCAAAGGAAAAGAGGAAGACCAAAGAACACATTACGCCGAGAAATGGAGACAGATATGAGAAGAATGAACAAAAATTGGACAGAACTGGAAAGGAAGACCCATGACAGAGTGGGTTTTAGAATGCTGGTCGGTGGCCTATGCTCCATTGGAAGCAACAAGCGTAAGTAAGTGAATATCATTAAAACGAAAGTCAAAACCAAAAAATCATCTCACTTCTCAAAACTAGTAATGATAACATGTTCATGTAATAATGATGAACATCATTAATCCATTCTATTATACAACATACAAGAAATAAGTAATTGAAAATTTGTGAAATAATTCAGACATTATTATTAATATTTTTCTTCTTTTCTAACCAAAAAAAACATCTTTTTGAAAATTATACAAGAATTTCTTTCTTCATTTAAGTATAAGCAACCAATTAGTTGTTTGATTATAACAAAAACTGATTAAGAACAATTCATCATTTACTTTAAGAATATTCAACAACAACAACAACAACAGCAACAACAACAATCTTTTTACATAGAAATTAGTTCACTAATTTTCGAATATTTAAAGTGTTTAAAATTGAATTGTTTTTTTCTTTTTGTTTTCCGGTAAAAAAATATGTTTTACGACTTTTTTGTTGCTGTTTATTTTTATTTTAGATTTTCAAGTGTTTCTTTTTTTTTGTTTAAAATTTAAGACTGACTTTCATTTATACTTAGTTTGTGTTTTTCTTCACCTAAGCAGTTCATTCATCATAAATGGTGATGGGGGCATGGTATGGTTGATTTCATACATGCTTGTATAGATATGTAAGGATTTCGTTTTAATTTACAAACAACTATATGATGATTTAATTAAATTGAAATGATGTTTACCAATTTTATCTTTTTTATGATTTTATTTACAAGATTTTTAATTCATTAAACAGATAGATTTAACTAGTTAATCAGTTAGTTACCTGATTACCATGTTAATTTCTCCAGATGTAGCTAAGCTTTACTAAAAATATTTAATTACTATTGATACCAGTAAGTAGAAATGTTTACTCCATAGATATGCACGCATATATATATAC